TGGGGGCCATGGAAGGTCATGGGGCTATGAGCCATGGGTGCCAGGGGGTCGAGGGCATAGGGGCCATGGGTGGTGGGAGCCATGTGGGATCATGGAGCCATGAGCCATGGGTGTCAGGGGGTCGAGGGCATGGGGGCCATGCGATGGACATGGAAAGGGTGCATGGGGGGGGGGTGAGAGCGGGGAGGGCGGAGCGGGCGGGCATGCACCGGGGCCCTTTAAAGTAATCTGATAGGAGCGCCTAAAAGAATGCTAAAACACTCATGAGGTGTGGGTGGTGGGAGCCAGCTGGGATCATGGGGCTATGAGCCATGGGTGCCAGGGGGTTGAGGGCGTGGGGGTTATGGGATGGAGCGGGCGGAGGGGGCGGGGAGAGCGGGGAGGGCGGAGCGGGCGGGCATGCACTGGGAGCAGGGAGGGTGGGGCGGGCGGGCATGCGCTGGAAAGTCATCTGATAGGGGTCACGGGCCATGCGAAACGCATGAGGCGTGGGTGGTGGGAGCCATGTGGGATCATGGAGCCATGAGCCATGGGTGCCAGGCGGTCGAGGGCATGGGGGCCATGCGATGGACATGGGAAGGGTGCATGGGGGGGGTGAGAGCGGGGAGGGCGGAGCGGGCGGGCATGCACCGGGGCCCTTTCAAGTGATTTGATCGGAGCATGGGGCCACGGGGCCATGGGAAACGTGCATGGGGGGAAGGGGTGTGTGGGTGGTGGCAGCCATGCATGGAAGGTCATGGGGCTATTAGCCATGGGTGCCAGGGGGTCGAGGGCATAGGGGCCATGGGGAGAGGGCGGAGCGGGCGGGCATGCACTGCGGCCCTTTCAAGTCATCTGATAGGGTCCGGGGCCATGAAAGGGTGCATGGGGGGAGGGGGGGGGAGGAGAGCGGGGAGGGCGGAGCGGGCGGGCATGCACTGGGGCCCTTTAAAGTCATCTGATAGGGGCATGGGAGCACCTAAAAGAATGCTAAAACACTCATGAGGTGTGGGTGGTGGGAGGGGCTATGAGCCATGGGTGCCAGGGGGTTGAGGGCGTGGGGGTTATGGGATGGAGCGGGCGGAGCGGGCGGGGAGAGGGGGAGGGCGGAGCGGGCGGGCATGCACTAAAGTCATCTGATAGGGTCTAGGGGCATGGGGCCACGGGGCCATGGGAAGTGTGCATTGGGGGGGGGGGGGGTGAGAGCGGGGAGCATGCACCGGACGTGCGTCTATGAGGTGTGGGTGGTGGGAGGCATGTGGGATCATGGAGCCATGAGCCATGGGTGCCAGGGGGTCGAGGGCATGGGGGCCATGCGGAGAGCTAGGGCGGAGCGGGCGGGCATGCACCGAGGGCCCTTTGAAGTAATTTGATAGGAGGATGGGGCCACGGACATGGGAAGGGTGCATGGGGGGGGGGGGGGGTGAGAGCGGGGAGGGCCTCTAAAGCAATCTGATAGGAGCACCCAAGAATGCTAAAACACTCATGAGGTGTGGGTGGTGGGAGCCAGCTGGGATCATGGGGCTATGAGCCATGGGTGCCAGGGGGTTGAGGGCGTGGGGGTTATGGGATGGAGCGGGCGGAGCGGGCGGAGCGGGCGGGGAGAGCGGGGAGGGCGGAGCGGGCGGGCATGCACTGGGGCCCTTTAAAGTCATCTGATAGGGTCTAGGGGCATGGGGCCACGGGGCCATGGGAAGTGTGCATGGGGGGGGGGGGGGGGGGGGGGTGAGAGCGGGGAGGGCGGGGCGGGCGGGCATGCACTGGGGCCCTTTAAAGTCATCTGATAGGGGCCACGGGGCCATGCGAAAGGGTGCCAGGGGGTCGAGGGCATGGGGGCCATGCGATGGACATGGGAAGAGTGCATGGGGGGGGGAGGGCGGAGTGGTGCACCGGGGCCCTTTTAAAGTGATCTGATAGGAGCATGGGGCCACGGGGCCATGGGAAACGTGCATGGGGGGAAGGGGTGTGTGGGTGGTGCTTGTGGGATCCTGGGGCGGGCATGCACCGGGGCCCTTTAGCCATGGGAAACGTGCATGGGGGGAAGGGGTGTGTGGGTAGTGGCAGCCATGTGGGATCCTGGGGCCATGAGCTGGAGCCGGGGTCGAGGGCATGGAGCCGGGGTTGAGGGCATGGGGGCCATGGGTGGGGGTCCT